ACTAGGGAGACAATATGATGTTTACACAAGCAAGACTGATCTATTTCACTTATAAGTATGGACTCAAGTCACATCCATTTCTCTGTAAATGTCTCAGAGATAGATAAATATAAATGTCTATATTTATCCTTCTTTATAGCTGCATAGTGATCTACTATATAAAAATGCCACATCTTTTTTATCCATTCCTCAGTAGATGGACATTTGGGTTATTTCCAAGATTTTGCTATGACAAACTGTGCTGCACATTGCTGTGGTATGATGTTTTTAATTCTTCTGGGAAAATATGATAAGGGGAACAGCTAGGTTAAATGGAACAATACAACTCATTTATGTTCATGAGTTCTCTGCCTACCCCTATGTCTTCAAGATGTCTATATACTTTCTCTTCCAGTATATTTAGCATTTCTGTTTTAATATTTAGATCTTTGATCCATTTTGACTTTAGTGCATGGTGATAGACATGGGTCTATCTAAAGATACATTCTTGTCTTGTTCCTGATTTTAGAGTGAAAGCTTTCCAGTTTTTCCATTTAGTGTGATGTTGGCCATTAGTTTGTAAATGATGGCTTTTTATCAGATTGAGATAAAGACCATCTATTCCAATGTTATGTAGGGTTTTCATCATGAATGAGTGATGGACTTCATCAAAAGCATTTTCTGCATCTATTGAGATGATCATGTGATTTTTATCTCTGGCTCTGTTGATATGGTGTACTACATTTATTGATTTGTGTATGTTGAATCATTCTTGCATTCATGGGATGATTCCTACCTAGTCATGGCATATAATCTTCTTCATAGTTTGTTGAATTCTGTTTGCTAGTATCTTATTGAAGATTTTTGCGTCTATATTCATTGGGGCCTGTAGTTCTCTTTTTTGGTTGTGTCTTTCTCTCATTTTGGTATCAGGGTAATTTTTGCCTCTAGGAATGAGTTTGGGAGTAGTGCCTCCCTTTCAATATCCTTGAAGAGTTAGAAGAGTATTGACATTAAATTATCTGTAAATTTCTTGTAGAATTTAGCAATGAATCCATCAGGTCCTGGATTTTTCTTTGTTGGTAAGTTTTTAATTACATTTTCAATCTCATTAACTAATGTTGGGTTATTGAGAACTTTTATCTTTTTGACTCAACTTTGGTAATTCATATGGATCTAGGAATCTGTCCATTTCTTCTGTGTTTTCCATCCTATGAGAGTAAAGATTTTCCAAGTAGGTATTGATGCTCTTCTGAATTTCCACATGATCTGTAGTGACTTTATCCTTATCATTTCTCAGTGCATGAATTTGAGTCTTTTCTTTCCTTTTTTGATAAGGTTAGCTAAGGGTCTATCAATTTTATCCATTTTTTCGAAGAACCAACTATTCAATTCATTAATTCTTTGTGTTATTTTCTTGGTCTCCATCGTATTAATTTCTGCTCTGACCTTTTTAATGTCCTCCTTTCTATGGGCTTTGGGTTTGTCTTGCTCTTCTTTTTCTAGAAGCATGAGGTGTAACATTAGGTTATTTGTGCTCATCCTCTTTTCTTGATATGAGAATTCATTGCTATATATTTCCCTCTTAGGACTGCTTTCATTGCATCCCATAAGTTCTGGTTTGTTTTATCTGCATTCTCATTTAGTTGTAGACATTGTTTAATTTCTTCCTTTATTTCATCTATGACCCATTGGTTGTTTAAGAGGGTATTATTTAATTTCCATTTGTTCAAGGAGTTTTGCAGTTTCTTTTGCCATTAATTTCTAATTCCATTGCACTATGATCAGATAATATGCAAGGGATAAGTTCAATCCCTTTGCATTTACTTAAGCATGTTCTGTGTGGTAGTGTATGGTCTATTTTAGAGAATCTTTCATGTGCAGCTGAGAAGAATGTGTACTCTGATGATGTTGGGTGGAACACTCTGAAAACTGAGTCCATTTGTTCACAGGTTTGATTCAACTCTGTCATTTCTTTGCTGATTTTCTTGTCTAGGTGATCTATTTCTTTGTGACAGTGGGGTATTGAGGTCTTCCATTACAATTTTGTTGCTGCTTATTTGATTTTTCATGTGCATTATTAATTGTCACATATAGTTGGGTGCTCCTGTATTTGGTCCATATATATTTATGATTGTTATCTCTTCCTCTTGAAGTTTCCCCCAAACAAGTATGTGGTGACCTTCTTTATCTTTTTTGTTCATTCTTGGTTTGAAGTTCACATTGTCTGTAAACAGAATAACTACCCCTGCTTTTTTCTGGGTTCCTGTTGTATGGAAGACTGTTTTCCATCCTTTGATTTTCAGTCTATGAATTTCTTTTTGCATAAATGTGTTTCTTGTATACAGCATAATGTTCAGTCTTGCTTCTTGATCCACTTTGCCAGTCTATTTCTTTTGATTGGTGAATTCAGGCCATTTACATTGATGGTTATAACTGATATGTAATGGCTTATTTTGGTTATGGTTTTTTCCTGTTGTTACTTCCCTGCTTTTCTCCTCTGTTTAATTGCTTGCCCTGCCTGGTAGTTTCTTTTTGTTGTTGTTCTTGGAATTGTGGTCATTTTTTTCTCTACCTAGAATATGTTTTAGCACTCTTTTTACCATTGGTTTGGTGTTCATAAATCTCTTCAGTTGTTCTTTGTCATGGAGGTACCTTATTTCTCCACTAATTTTGAAAGATATTCTTGTAGGGTACATCAGTCTGGGTTGGAAGTTATTTTATTTCAGGATTTAAAATACTTCAATCTAAACTCTTCTTGACTTGAGGGTTTGTGTAGAGAAGTCTGCCCTGATTCTGATGGGCTTTCCTTTATAGGTGACCTGTTCCTTTTCTCTAACAGCTTTTAATATTCTGTTCTTGTGATGAATTCCTGGACTCTTGATTATTATATGTCTTGGGATGATTTTATCTTAGTCATGACTGTTTGGAGTTGCATATATGCTTCTTTTATTTGTATGTCACATTCTTTATCCATGCTTGGGAAGTTTCATGACATTATTTCTGTGGACTTTTTTTATGTTATTTGTGCTGTCTCCAGCTTTCTCATTGACCCCAATCAATCTTATGTTTTTCTCTTTTGCTTTATTTTGTAGCTATTGGATTGATTTTTCATGCTGTCTTGGTGTTTCTAAGATATCTTTCTTTTCATTATCACTACCTACAATTCTGTCTTTAAATCTAAAATCCTATCATATCCTTTATTCAACCTTTTTCATGTACTTTCAGTGCAGGTTTTAATCTCTTGGATTTCTGTTTGGATGTGTTTCATGGATTCCACTTCCACTCCTGTGCTGGGAATTTTTTGTTTCAATCATTTTCCTAAGCTCATCTATTATTTTATCTGTGTCTTCTCTATTATCTTTTGCTTTTTTCCTTTGAGACAAGTTCTTGCTATGTAGTTCAGACAGGCTTTGAGCTCACTTTGTAGCCCAGGCTGGTCTCAAACTCACAATGATCCTCCTGCCTCAGTCTCCTGAATGCTGGGATTATAGGTGTGTGCCACCACGCCCAGATATTCTTGGATTTTAAGCATCATTTTTTTCTATACCTGAGAGATTATTTTCTCCATAGCCTTTTCCACTTCAGCTGATATCATTTCAGAAAGTTCTAGTGTTTGACTTCCAGTTTCATCTATCTCCTTGAGTTCTGGGCTTGTCCTAGGTGGGCTGAGGGTCTGGGGTTGCACTTTGCTTCCATGTCACATCATTTTCTATTTTCTCTTTTTTATTTTGTTTTCTATGTTGATACTTGCCAGTTTCCTATGATATATAGCATTATCACTAATATTGAGGTTTCCCTAGAAGATGCCTGTTCTTCAAGGATATTATCTAGATGTAGGTAGTTTTTTATAGCTATCCCAAGACTTTATCTTCCCAATTTATGAAAAGATGTAAGATTACTATTATCAGACAGGGGAGAAAAACTATCTGTAACATTATGACATTCTGGCTAAAGTAGTACAGTTACTAATAATAACAATTTCAAAAACAAGTTAACTACTGATAAACTATGGTAACCATTAACCTGTTACCTTTGACCACAGGAGCAAACTCGAAAATTATATAACAACACCAATCATATACTATTCACTTGTATGTAGTGATTTTTCCCTTAGGTGATTTTACCCTTCTGTGGGAGGAGGAGGGTTAAAATGGTTAGGTGATAGGCTAAAGTGATGAGAGAGGTCAAATAGAGTCAAGGCTAGAGATTAAAGGATGATCATCCAAGCTTTGGGAAACTGAAGGACACAGGAGGGAAAGAATGAAATCGAATACGAAGGAGTAGTCAGAAAGGGCAGAGACAATGTTTACTCACTTTAAAGTTTAAATTCAAGAAGTAGTTGAGTAAAGAAAGACAGTGATAGATGAGAACGAAAAAAGGTAAGAAAGCTAAACACTGAAAAAAGAAGGAAGAAAGAGAATGAAAAAGGAAAGAAGAACAAAAAAGACCAGAGAAAGAGAGGAGGAGAAAAAGGGGGGGAAAAACCCAAATACAAAAATAACTACAGAATACAAAATAAAACAACATGATATCCAACCAGACAGGAAAGGGATAGCCCATCAGACAAACAAATGAGAATGAAAGTAGTAAAATACCTCTGGTGTTTACAGTTCTATGGTAGTGTCCATATTTAATTCCAGAAATGTGCTGGGTATGGAGCTGATCTTTGCCCTCCAGATGCGGGAACTGGGACTGGTCTTCTGTCAGTGGAGTTCTCTGGAGCCCGACTGCTGCCTCCTCACTGCTGCTTCAGACACTTCAATGTTGATAGTCTCACTACTCTGTCCTCCAATGGCATGTGTGTACCCATGCACCTGGGGCCTGGCTATTGTCCTAGGTTTCAGGTCTTGGGGTTCCAGACGATCTACTCAACAAAGGTATGTGTCCTTACACTCCTTTTGTAGGTCCTGCTGTCCCTGAAGAATATAAAGGGCCATATGCAGTTTGGTGAGCTTTATGATCATCAGAATGATAGCTGGGCCCCATCAGCATAGTAAGGCCACTGGGTAGAAGCATACTCACTGCTCCACAATGTGAATCCCTGTCCATGTTCACTTCCCAGAAAGCCAGTTGATTTCACAAATTTCTTATACAATATCTGGGTCTGAATGAGTAAGATCATGATGGTGAAGAGGCTAAGTAAAAAGCTGGCCTGGAAAATGGTGATACCATAAAAACAAAGTATGCTGCAAAGAGATATGTTAGTTAAAGGCAAGCGTCCAGCCATGGCTCATGGTGGAGAGTGCATCAGGATACACCTGTAACTTTGGGTGAAGTTACAGAAACATTCACTAACATTGTCCAGACACAACACAGGTACCATCAACAGCAGAAGTACCAAGCTTGATAAAATAAAGGCTATCTGACCAATTTGACAAGTACAATCTACCACCAGTGGAGATGTGCTCTGCCCACTCTGCTTGTGTTTCACTCTCAGCTCTGTGTACAGATACCAGATATAACTGATGGTGTAGAAAAATGAGGACATGCAGAATATCTATCCAACTGCTTGCAGGTTATAGGCTGTTGAAATTCCATAAAGAAGTGCCTCATTGAGCTAGCAAATTCCCAGAAGCAGATCAGAGAAGCTCAGATAAAAGAGTGGCTTTATCTATACTTCCAGCACCCTGGGAGGCTGAAGCAGAAGGTTCCAAAATTTGAGCCCAGCCCGGACAAATCAGCAACTCAGTGAGACCCTCTGGAGATTTCCATATATTCTGGAATACATCAAGAGCATTTATTTATACATTTAGCAGGTTGGTGTCATGTAACACATCTTTGCCTAGCAACCCATTGCTTACATTGCCTTGGGGCTCGGTGTTCTCTGCACTGGAGCAGCTTGCTCACAGGGCTCGCCTGGGGTACTCTTTGTTTCTGGGACAGGCTTTGCTCCAGCCCCACACATATGATCATCTCCAGCTTCAGCTGCTCCCCATAGCTCATCTGCTAAGCCACTGGCCACAGTCAAGGAAGATGCCAGAGAGTCCTACAGACGTTGCTGTGAGACACACTAAAGAAGTAGAGCATCTTTAGGCTTTGAGAAGAGAAAATGTAATGGAAATTGGAAAGTAGGAAAGATATTTGGAGCAGATCTTGGCACATTTATTTGTTTATTTAGGGTCATAAACAGTTCTTAATCTTGACTAGACTTTTATGCATCCATAGAATTGGGAACCAGGGCCTGAGACAATGAAGTCAAGCACCAATTTTTGGTTTATTTTCATCTCAGTGCTAGCTGCTCCCTAAACTGTTCCTGACTCCCTGAGTGCAGACACTGCAAAGCCATCAACTTGAAACAACATGCTATGCTGCGGGCTTGGGTCACTGCTGAGGAAGCAGAGGAAGCCAGCTGAAACAAAAGCTGCTGGATGCTGAAAGAATCACAAGTCTTAATTTCAAAAATAAGTAAATAAAAAAATCCCAAGTCTTTATCCAGATCTAATTCCTCCTAGTAGTGGTTTCTATCTGCTCTTTGGAATTTGTGAGTGACTGAAATATGCCCCAGCCCATTAAGATGGTAACATATCTGTTATTTAAGTTGTCTCAAAGCTTCTTGTCAAGCAGTTAAATTCAAAATGTCAGGATATTCTATGGCCTTTACAACACTAAATTTTTTTTCTTTAAATGTAGGCAGATTGTTGGGAAGTTTTAGTTTGTTTTTCAGGTTTTTGGCTTTTTGTATGTTTTGTTCAATTCACCCCTGAGCTTAGTAAAGAAGTTTCTCTGTGCCTGCTTGCCTATAACTTATTCTTCGGGGCTAGTGGCAGTTGAACAAATTCAGCTTGTTGCCTTCCTGTACAAAAAAAAAAGTTGGGGTATGAGAAGCATATTAATTAATTACCAGTTCCAGCCTGGTTTCTGAACTCCACAGCTTTGGGATGTTCCAGAAGCGTAAATATATCACGGTGTCTTACATTTGGTCAGGAAGTATATCTCAGTTGGGTCCTCAGACCATTTCCCATCCCACAATTCTGCTATTTCCCAAGCCCTGAATAGCACTGGCACGAAAGGTCAGTTTCTGGATGAGTATATCCCAAAGAAATGGCTTCCTGTTTTTCCTAAGTGGCCTTTCCCACAAATCTTTATGTTTAACCAAAGTTCCTGTTTTAGTTTAGCCTTCTCCCACTCCTCTTCACAAGTAAGAGATTTGGCAGGTATAAAGAAGATACCCCAGGGATAGGTAAACTGTCTTTTCATGACTACAGCCACACTGCACAAATTATATACTTTCTGACCCTTAAATCAGATCCCTGCCCCTATAAGAAAACTGCTGTAGTATTCAGGCAGACTGATCTCTCACTCCAATTTAGCCCCAGCCCTCTGTTTCACAGCACTTCCCAAGCACTAAATCTGGATGACTGCACAGGCCCCTCTGGGGACCTAGGCGTGGAGCACAGAAATTCACGATCTGGTTAAGGAGGGACCCTTGCAGAAGCTCCACGGCCCCAAGGGCCCCCATACACGCAACGTGGGGTGTGAGCGAGGGCGGGAGGTGAGCCTGGGAGGCCTCGGACTCGGTGGCAGGGCAGCACGGCAAGCCAAGGCAGGCGTGCAGGGGTGGCCGCTGCTCCTCTGCCTCCCGGCGCTTCCAACCCTCTGTCACCAGCCAGCCAGTCCTGCCTGAGGCTGTGCTCCGAGTAGTGCGGGCCCGGGTGCGGAGGACAGACGGACCGAAGGACACGAGCCCGGGCTCAGGAGAAGCCGGCACCTGGAGCCTCCCACTACGCCAAAGACAGCCACCTGAAAGCGCCTCCTCCGCCTCGGGACACGTGCGTGGGGACCCCAGAAAGGCAGAGGAGACCGCGGTGCCGTGGGAACCGCCAGGGGCGGGGCCTGCCGCGAGAGGCGGGCGGTCACGTGCGGCGGCGCGGGTGCGTCGCTGCGCATGCGCAGGCGGCCCCGGGGCCGCAGCGGGCGGACTCGGTCCTCGGCTCTGCCTTCCACGCGGGGAAAGCAGGCGGGCGGGACCGCAGCGCGCAGGTGAGGATCCGGCGGGGCCGGGTGGCCAAGCGCGGGGTCGGCATATGACCCCAGCTCTCGAAAGCCGCCCGGACCCTCTCCGGACGCCGCGCCCGCCCAGCTCCACGCGCTGTGGTCCGCGCCGGATCCCCTCGGTGTCCGGACCTCGCGCCCCCTCCCGCAGGCTCTGAGGGCGGCGGGCTGCGCCGCGTGTCCGAGTGGTCGGGAAGGGACTAAGGCACCTGTTCCCCGGCCGCGGCTCCACGTCCGCCTGACCTCGGGAGGAGCTCAAGGGTCCCTGCAGATCGTGCGGTGCGGGCGCCGAAGGGACGGGCGCGGTCGGGGTGGCCGGGCTCCACCTTGCCCACCTCAGCTCTGCGCCCAGACCGCCTGTAGCTGTGTGTTTACCTTAAAGAGTCAGTCGTGCTTTGAGCCTAGTAGATGAGTTTGTTGTTTTTAATGGAAGCAGTTAGGATTTATTTGGAAAGTATTGTCAAGGAGCCGGCTTGTACAGTCTTAGATGCTCCTAAGTGTGGTGCAGCGCTGGACACAGAATGGGATTCAGACTGCAGACCCTTACTATGGAAGATAATCATTCATCAAAAAACGCTCCATTTTGTGTATAAAGAACAACAGGGGTACTTAACTGAAAAATAAGCGTTATCCATCATATCTATGATGTGCTTTGTAAGGTAGATTACAGTGTCTCGTATACATTTAATGGTGATCCATTCATCTCTGTAGAAATGATTCAGGAATCATTCCCATTTTACAGAAGCGACAGTGCCCAAGCTCATACAGCTTGTAGGAATTAGGTGTTGGTTCTTGATCTGGCCTTTCCATTGCCCTCCTCCTTTATAAGGACACATCCTGTAGTGGAGACTGTGTATTCCTGTTGAACGTGGTGCAAAGAACATTTCTGATGATTGGGCGCAGCTCCTGTGTTACAGGGAAGGTTTAAGCCTGAAGTTCTAGGGCCCGAGCCCCGGGCTTTGTCACTGCCCTGCCAGTTGTGTCGTCACAGCGGTAGAGTTGAGCAGAGGCCTCCCAGCCTTCTCTGGCCAGGTTTGTGTGGCAAGAACCGTGAGCCATGCTGGGGGAAGAGCCTGGGCCTCTGGCACAGGGAGGTTTCAGCTGAGCTGTGCCCTTTGCCTTCTCGGGCGCTCCTGGTGCAGAGGGCAAGGTGGATGGCTGCCGGAGGAGCACAGAGCCTGGGTTGCGGAATGGTAAACTGCAGGACAGAGATGAGGCAGGACCCCCCGGAGCTGGAGCTTCCACCCTAGCGTCACTGCAGCCTGCAGTGACACTGTGGGAGGCATGGGTCGGTGTTTGTCCTGCTGCAGATGCCCTGCCCTCAGGAGAGGAGTGTGAGCCCTGCAGAGAAGAGAAGGCCAATGCTAGTGCCTTGCCCCATTTCACATTGCTCTTCTTAAACGACGACGTTTTCAAACGCCTTGTTTTTAAAAGACACTGAGGTACACAGGATGGAATGACCTCTCAGAGTCACAGTGTGAGCTTAGGATTCGGGTTCTGAAGCCAGATCTTTCTAGTATCACTCTTGTCTTCGGGTTCATCTGCATGTGACTTGATAGGGGTCCAACCCAGACTTGCAGATGAGGACAGAATAGCGGGGACTTTAAGGGACTCTGCTGCCTCAGTCAGTTCTCAGAAGGAAGGACCTCTTCCCCAATCCATGTCTCAGTTTCCACGGTGGCTGGTTGTCATCTGCTTTGAGTCTCTGTTTCGAACTTTCTGAATCGGGCACCTCAGCAGAGGCCTGTGCAGAGCCAAACAGAGCCGAGGGTTGGTGATTGCAGCAGGTAGGTGAGAGCTCACACCAAGCAGCTGGTGCTGTGGTCCTTGAGGACACACATGGGTGGAAGGAGATCTGCTGTTGCCCGCTGTCATCACACTTCTGCACTGGTATTTTCAAGCTTTCTCTTTAGCATCTGGAATTGACTGGCCTTGTTACTCTGGGTAGGAAAAGTACAGATCAACTTCTCAACTGAGAATGGGCAGTGTGAACCTTAACACAATATTTGGCATATGTTTATAAGTTTTCTGCCAAGTCTTGGGCTGGGGAGAAGTTGGTGATCTCTCTCAGACCAGATTTCCCAGGCCCATTCTTTTTTTTTTTTTTTTTT